TTCTGCTGATCGGTTTTTTTTCGTTTGTGCCAATAAAATAATTTTTCTACAATTTCCAAAAAAATAATATTTAATCCCGTTAGCTCGAGTGTGTGTGCGTTTGTTATATTGCTCTTATTTTATTAACAGCGGCCGATAATATTTCCATCAAGACGATGCTAATACCACCTTTTACTCACATTTTTTTTTTAAGGGAGCACCATATTTTGTTTTTCGTAAAAAGTATCAAAGTGAATTTTAATCATTAACACAATAAGTTTAACCACAAAGAATAATCCGTTTTATTTTGGTACAATAAATTAACAAATTATAAAGAAAATGTAAGTTAAATGAAGAAAAAATATGTACATATGTGTTCATTTGTATGACATGTGTGTGTGTGTGTGTGTTTCGTCAGTATACACGGATCAACGAATTTGCGAAAGTCTTCATTCAACGAGTGGGCAATTTGGGCTGCTACTTACAAAGAGAGAGAGGAAAGAAAGAGGGGGAGGAGAGATGCTTTGCTGCGACCAGAGTGGAGAGCGTAAGTGAGAAGTTAAATTTGTGTGTGCTCCATGTTGTCAATGTATTAGTGTAAATGCTGGCTTTGCGTAGGCCCGTGCCTAATGTAACGAGCTAGTCTGCCCCCGTCTACTCTGCTCATCGGGGCTTTCTGCGTAGGTACGCAGAGTTATTTTGTAACAATAATTAACCAACTGATATTTATTATATCCGAGTATGTTATTAACTTTTATATATGTTTATTTCAATTGGCAGTTGCTGTAAAATACTAGTATACGGGCGAAGTTTCGACTAAATATTATTTTGAATATGTTAAAAAAAAACACCTTATCTTTGTTGCCGTGTCAAGTTCTATTAAAATTGTATATGCAATAATCTGTTAAATGAATAATATTTAATAACACAGTAAAACTTGGACGGGCAGCAGCATGTTTTGTTTTGTCAGCATGTATGTTTTCTCCGTTATAATGTTATCTCGGTGAAGCTCGAATATGTATGTACGCATGTAACAAGTTCGGATTCGTCTGTTATTTAGCTCTCATGTGAACAAATGTTAAAATAAAATTCAGTTAATTAAATCTGAAATAAGGGGATAATTGCTCATTCTTGTGTAACCAATATTTTTCGTGTCGCGAAACTATACAATAATTTTGTCTGGCATCGCCTTGACACGACACGTGCGCATCTCTGGCGCATGCACTCGATTGAATAATGACTGCTTCACAATGTGCCTGTCAGCCGTTGACACTAATAGTGTTGGAAAGTGCGACAGTGTGGGTCACTTTGTGTTTTTATGGGGGTGGCTTCTGCTGTTGCTGCTGTTATCTGCAGCACCCGCATCGAGTTACACTTTGATGCGATTTTACATTTTTAATGGCTCAAATGTCACGACAAATTATGATGTATTTGGCGCCAGTGGAGCCAGACACCAAAACCAACCCCAAACAAGTGTGAAATGGCAGCTGCCGATAACGGCAGAAGAGCCCCTTCACCCCACCCACCCCCCCCCCCCCCCCTCATCCCTTAAGGTTCTCCATAGTTTTTTGGCATTGCACCTGCTTTGACTGCACTCGGGCCGCCCGCCTGCTAATAGAAAATTTAAATGCCAGGACCTCGTTACTGGTGACTGGCGACTGGCGACTGGCAACTGTTGGCCTGTTGGCCAAGTGAAACTTAATGTTCTGCAACAATCTAAGCACAGTTCGTAAACTTGCCCAGGCCAAAGTTTTGAAAACTTATAGCTGCCTTAATTTTTTTCTATTTTATGTATACAGAGAATATAGGGAATATATATATGTGTATGTTATATATATATATTTGTATATATTTGTTGCAAGTTGCTCGTGTCAACAGAGTGGTCAGTGAGGCAAATGTTGGTTCTTAAGAGTTCATGTGGAACGAAATTATGTGGCTGCTGTGGACAGCTGCAGAGCTGCAACTCAGTGTGAAGTGGGTAGTGGGAAGTGGGAGAGGGTGGATAATGAGAGTGTGACCAGGTCAAGTTATTTCACTTTTGGGTTAAGCTTTTTGCTTCTTCCTTTGCTCTTTCAAGTTTCAATTAGCTGCACTAAATTTGACTGCAAACTCACTTTCGAAATCCGAGAGAACAAATTTCATAATTTTGCTAAAAAGTGTCGTGTTACGTGTACAAAAACTTTGTCCGTACAATTTTAAGAGAAAAAGAGAGACAGAAAAAATCTGAGAAAAATTATGAAAAACTTCTACATTAAAAAATATTTGGGTAAATCATAATTGCTATTGAAAAACTGTTTTTTATAATATATCATCTTAAAGACTGTTCTTAAGCTTATCTAAATTATTCTTTAAATTTATTTGCTTTGGGAATTTTCTTTATAGAAATGAGTGAAAAAGAGTACAAGCAAGAAAAAATTAAAGAAATTTGTTATTAAAGTGAATGTAAAAGGATTAAAATATTAATTAAAATTTTGAAAACTAATAAAATTTATGTAGCAGATGGTTTTGCTAAAATTAGATAAGTTAAAAATGAGAGAATTTTATATACTTTTAATAATAAGCGACAACTTTAGCTAATAAAATTAAATAAAATCATTGACATTAATTACCTAGAAAGTATCCTAAATCGAATGACTATTTAAAGGATTTTTTATATGTTTCTTTTTTAATGTACATTTAAATTTTTTTCTGAACTAACCATTTATGCTATTTTAATGTCCGCACTGCATTCGCTCAATTTGTTGCCCACTTGATTTATTTCTCGCCCGTAAAAAACTTTGATCTTAAGCTGTTTCGTTGCACAATTACAGTTCGTATTCCCTCGGCCAATCCATTAATTGGTTCATCACATTTGGACACTTTCTGTTTGCTGTTTGCGAGTGTAAATCACAGTCGTTGCCGGACATTTGTTTGCCACAGATTGTCTCCCGGGTTGGCTGGCTATATAAAATATGCCATGCATGTTGCATAAACAAGGATTAAACAAAAGAAGTCACAGGTCCTATGCCTAACCCACTCGATTGCTCTGCTGTGTGCGCCCCTTAAGCGCAGCACAAGGCAAATATTTGCCGCCGTGTGTCGCCTCGACAAGTTCAGGCTGGCATTTTACTGCCAGAGTGGATGTGTGTGTGAGTGTAAGTGTGTGTGCGTGGGAGTGTGTGTGGGCTGCCTTTTACTTTGTGTGCCACTCACGTTGTGCTCGTTATTCATATTTATTGCACACGTTGCCAGTGCCACCGACACGACGACGTGAAGGAGGCCTCCATGAGGACGCCTTCATGAGTCCTGGCAATTGGGAGTTGCAGACAAATGGACGAGTTGCATGTGCATTGTTCCTCTTGCCGCTGTTGTTGTTGTTGTTGTTGTTGTTGTTGTAGGCGTGCGTTCGTGTCTAGCGGCAAAAACTTTGCAATTACAGTTATTTGATGGGATTCACACCCACACAAACACCCACAAACACACACCGCCGAATCCTTTCGCCTTGGTTGTATAATGCGGGTGTTGCCTGTTTGGACATTCATTTGCTGCCGCATTTTTACAGCCTTGACGATGCACTGACAAGGGCAGAGGGCGGGCCGGGCCGGGCCGGAGTCCAAGTAGGAAGCGTAAAGTGGTGTTAAATGACAGGAATTACAAAAGGGGATAAAGTAGGTTTTACAGGTTCTTAACGGAAAAGTGCGAAAGTAAATTTGTGTGGTAGTGAAAGCTAGTAATAAATAATAGTAAATGTATAATTATTTGAGAGTTCGAGAGGGATTGTGAGGGATTAATGAGAGAGAGATTGGGAGAAAGATTGAGAGAGACATTGAGAGGGAGATTGAGAAATATAAGTTACTTTCAGGCAAAGGAGATATTAATAGAGTGAAAGATGCAAATAGAAATAGGTTCTAGTATCTAGAACCTAATCTAGTTAAAAGTTGGACAATTTTTGATAATAATAGTAAGTTTAAATATAATCCCCAGAACAATTACAGCATATTTCTAATCAGTTGATTGTGATTGTAAAAAAAGCAAAGCCATTCGCACAATTTTTTTATTGTGCATTTTATAATCAATTTTTATGAAAATCAACAACGAAGCGTGTTAAATTTTTTTAATTCTCATCTCACTTAATCAGACACAAATCAAAAATAAATTTTTTATTGCATATTTTATCAAGCGCTGGCAATAAACCAAACATACAAGCTGAAGCTGGGTGAGGGGAAGGGGAGGAGAGGGTGCAGAGGGAAATGTCTCCCTTGTTTTATGCTGATTTATAATGTAGCGACAGGCAGTTAAATTGATGGCCTAAAAATGCGCTGACAATAAACAAGCCTCGACATGTGTACAAATTTCAACAGCAGACATTTAAAGTACATGCATGAAATATATGAAATAAATATATGAATTATATAATAATCATATGTATATTATTATTATGCTATGCAAATGCTTAGTTGAACATTTGTGAATACGTGACTGGACTGAATTATATATAGGAAAAGTTGGAAAAATTGAGAGGGCTAAAAAGTTGTTGAATTGCATTCACAGTAAATTATGTGTTTATAGAAAATTAAGATTATATGAGAAGGAAGTTGTTTAAAACATTTTTTATAGCTAATATTAATATTTTATCAACTTTTACAAATTGAGACTTTGCCTTAAGCTCACATTTGATTTGTATTATATATGAATTTATTTATATATTATCTAATAATCAATCGACCAACATAGCTATGCAACAGCTCCCCCAGAAAGGGTATTAATATGCCCCAAGCAAATGTCAGATGTGCTTTGGGGAATTGGCGGAAGTCCATAAAATGCTGTTGGGATTTATTTAATAAAGCGCAGAAATAAAATATAAAATGCCCATCATAAATAATTCGCAAAGCCGTAAAATAGAAACAAAAATGATAATAAAATGCAAATTGTATATAAAAGAAAATTAAATATGAGAAATAAGCGATACTTTTTTAATGCGCCCCAAGGATTTGTTTGCTTAGTTTGATTTTAAACGCTGTCAGCAAATAAATTAAAAAAAAATGCTGTTTATATTTATATTTAATTCGAATTTTGCAACTCTTTTCGCAGAACTGTCCACTGCGCTGCGTGATGTGCGGGTGCGAGTGCCGCACGCGGTGAGGCGCGGGGAGAAGGCGGTGCTCAAATGCTTCTATGACATCGAGGATGACAGCTTGTACTCGGTTAAATGGTACAAGGGCAGGCGAGAGTTCTACAGATACACACCCAAAGAAACGCCACCGATGAAGGTTTTTCATTTTCCCGGAGTTAAAGTCAGGGTAAGCTGGCAATATACAATTAAAAAAATATTAAAAAAGCTCCATATGTTGGTTTAGCTTAAAATATATATTTGTTAATAATTGAGAAAAACAAATAATATATTACTTTTGGCCTTTTTCGTATTTTCAAAATATTTGCAGAACAAATAAATTTCTATAAAAATAGCTTTGTTAGTATTAAAATTTGTGCATAGTTTTTTACACTTTCAATAAATATTTGATTCAAATCAAAAAATTAAACACCAGAATAATGAAAACTAAACGCGAAACGCAACAATGTGAAGCATTTGCATTTGGGGCGCTGCGAAGCGACAGTGAAATGCTTCACTTAACCCGGGATCGGGACAGGCAGGGTCACCGTTGGGGGCGCCGTTGGGGGCATAGTTCAACGAGCACACAGCATTTCAATGCACAATCAAATCAAAACACGGGTTTTAACTTCCGCTTGATGGCAGTTACAGGGCCGGGAAAAACACATAGTATTTTCGTGGCGCTTCCTTTTTGCAACTCTTGAGTTTTTTCTTTTTTGTCATTTTGCATTTTGGTTTTCTGGATTGGGCGAGCAATATTTTTCAATAAATATTGGCATTTTTAACTTGCTCTACAATTTTCGAAATTATTCAGGCATATGAAAGAAATACATGGGCATTTTATTTATTTTCATTTCCATTTCTATTTCTATTTCCATTTCATGCGACAATGGCAAAAGCAAAAATAATAAAAATAAATACAGAGAAGCGAACAATTTGCAGTTCATGGAAAAAAATGGCAAATGGAAATGTTTGTGCTCCAATTGCCAAAAGATAAACAATGCGAATATTTAGAAAAATATTAAAAAAAAAACAACACGATTCTGGTTTGTCCAGTACAATAGAGAATTGTGCGAATTTTATGTAGCTGACACATCCGTTTAACGAGTTTTGCGCTATTTTTGTTAAATTAAATTAAATGTTTTATGAAGTTTTCGGGAATATCTCATCCGCTGGCCTTAAATATTTATTAATATAAAACTCAGCAGAGTGCCAGCTGCCAAATCGGGTCTATAAAACCACTACTGCGATTTCAATATGGCATAATAAAGGCCAGAACATATTATTTTTTTTCGATTCAAAATGTGCAGCAGCAAAAAATAATATTTCATTTAACAATTCGCGACACCTTTTGGCATTCGGTAGCGCAGAGAAAAAATATATAAATTGAGAAAGCAAGCAAATAATGTATTTGACAAACATAACACACGCGCAATTTTTTATTATTTAAAATGTTGATGATTTTGAAACAGCCCCCAGAAATATCAATAATATATATACATACATGTATACGTACGTATATATAAAACAGTCAGAGCCATAAACTTGTGGCTTATGAAAAGCGCAAAATAAAAACGGCGCAAACATTCGTCGAGATCCGCATAAAGTTGACCAGTTTCAATAATTTTGCAGCCATAACCAGCGGGTTGTGTTTTATATTTTTATGTTCTTGTTTGTGCGCCCGCTCAATTATTGAGGAAGCTCAACACGAAGCCAACAGCAATCCACGAGATACTCTTGTTGTATATATAGTTATACTGTGTATTTTTTTAAACAAATTTATTTCGCTTTTATGTCAGGCACTTCCCTTACTTATTCGCCCGTGTGTTAACCCCTTTCTCTGTCATCTTTTTTTTTTCCCAGCGCGCATCCTCGAACGAGAGCCAAGTGGTGCTCGATGCGGTAACAATGCCAACATCCGGTAAATACAGTTGCGAAGTATCTGCGGATGCGCCCTCATTTCATACATTAATAGCGGCCGCCGAATTGGAAGTTATTGGTAAGTAAACAAAAACAAATAAAACATGAAAAAAACAAACACAAAAGCACAACAACTGATAAAAACTGCAATACACGAAAATATTTAAATTGATAGGCTCAATGGTGCTGGGCGGACTGAAATACACACAATCGAATATTAAATAATATAAAGGTTTTTAAATGAACAACTTAATGAAATAACGTGGGATTGGCTGATACAAATTTATAAGTATTTTATTATTGCAATTTGTTAATCAAAGTCAATCCCAGCTCGGACAATAATAACGCTATGAAACAGTCAAAGACGTTGTGATTATTCAATTGGGTTAAAATATTCGCAAGTTGAGGTTTTATATATAAAGACATCTTTAGAAAAGGCGTAAAAATCCGCTTAAGATTGGAAATTGTTTAAGATAAATTGTTTACTATAGAAACCAAATATTTACCCCATATGGAGCCCCACAAGCTTATTAAAGGAAAGTAAATATTTGACCCATTCTACAAAAAAATGGGTGTATGCTCCTTACTGCTGAAAAAAAGGCTACATTTGTTGCACAATGTTATAAGCATGCTCTTGAAAATGTCAAATAAAAGCCAGACACTTTTCCCATAAAGCAAACATCTTTTGGCATATTTATATTCATAGTTAATTCTGATTTAATAGAGTATCTCTGCTTGTGCATCTTTTGCTAAGCTGTCTACGACTCAGCAGAACTCTTAAATTCTTTAAGCTAAAAGCCAGACGCTAAAGTCATTAGAGAGACAGCTTAAAAATGCTATGCCTAATCGTATTTAATATAAATATAAATTTATTGGGCGTCTAACAAGAGTTAACCAAAAAAAGAGTCTGTTTAAGGGGATTAAAGCCAACAGAATGTGCATCAGGATTAATAACTGAATAACTGCTCTATATCAAATAGAATCATGAAGATGTTCTTCAGTTAGTAAAAAATACCCTTTCCTAGTCATCCCTATTCAACAATCCAATATGTGTCTGCGCTGGCGCCAACTATAAAAAAGCTTCTACTCCACTTTACATATGTTCTTCACATCAATTTTGGGGCTATCAGACAATATCATATTAATTAATTAAATGATGTTCGTAAGTGCCTGCTCGAGCGCCCATCCATTATGCGATAAACCTTTGCAACACGAACAGCATTTAATGATGTACGCCGCAAATGTTGTAGCCATATCGGCATAATCAGAAAACAAGATAATATAGGGGTGCTGCTCCACTGTGTTTGGCGTTGGCTTGTGACTGGTCCGATTGCCACAGAAACCAATTCCAAATGCACACAAACATATCAGAAAGGCACACATATGGTCATATAAACATGAAATAGACACGACCAGAGTTTGCTGAGACGGGCGAGCGGCCAATTTGTGTTGCCCTCACTTTGGCAAAGTCCGTAAACCAATCATCCGCACACACACACACCCACACACACACACACACTCGCTCACACTTGAAGCCAAAAGTTTATTGACCATCTCAAACGTTTTGCCAGTGCATTTTATTTTATTTTATTTTTTTGTTTGGCTGCTTAAATATCGTCATCTTTATCTGGAGCCAGCAAATTTGTTTGTATTTTGTCTGCTCGAATACCGTAAATTCGAACTAGAAGTTTATTTTGAAGTAACGCCCAGCCACAACGCCCACATTTGGCGTGAGCTCTGGTGTCTGGCATTCGCCTGGTCCCCAATCTCTTGACTCTTGACATCGGCTCAAGTCTGGGTCTGTCTCCTGGCCTGCCCAATTGAACTCGGTCTGGGCATGTCCTGTTCACATATGACAGCCATGCATGGAATTAGACAGTAGTTGCCTCTCGTAGTTCTCGTGTTTGACTTGCTGCAAGTTTATGCTTAGCTCTGACTTGTGGCATGAATGGGTTGGGAGAATCGAAAATACTTATTTTAAGTTATTTTCAGTTGCGTCTGCATTGAATTCGTCGATTTATTGAACCACAAGCTCTATTGTACTTGCTTAAAATACTTATGCTACTTGCACACATACAAATATTAAGCAAAATTTTATTGCTCAAGCAGTTGACTGTTAGCTCGAGTCTGGTTGACGCCAGGTTTCAAATGTCAAAGCTATTTAAAGTTTATTGTGTGACTGTCACGCCCAAATAATAGCTAGTGCATGGGCAATAAACCTCGATGTAAATAAAACTTGAAACTAGTTCAACACTAATTTATAACTGATTAAACTGGGTCGTAGTATGCTTTTGGCATTTAAGAATAGTTGAATAGTTCAAGCTTTCATGATAGTTGGTTCAAACCCAAATCAACACTGGTTCAAAGCGGATTGAAACCTTACTATGAGCAGGTCTCGATCATGTTTAAAACTGGCTCAATTGTGTCTCAAAACTAAATGAAATTGATAAATAAACAGGTTCAAACCTTGTTTAAACGTTAAAAGACTACTATTAATCCAATGAAGGCATTTTTGAGCCAGCCCAAGCGCAACTCGGGACTAGATCAACCCATGTCTGGAACCAGTTCAAAACTGAAACCATGTCAATCTCATAACTATAGTCCAGTGTAACTTGAAGTGTAAGTAACTTTAAGGTTAATAACAATTTGATCCGGCTAGCCAGTTCAAAGCAATTCAAAATGTTTTCATGTTTTCACAACGAACGATTTCTGTCATTTTCACAACCAAAATTCGCGGCTCAATCATAACTGCAGCACAGCGCTGTGCTATGCGTAGGTTTACAATAGCATTTCAATTATAGACTGCGAAACCGCACGGATCAGACCTCGACTGTCATTACGCAAAATGTCGAAATGTCGACATGAATACGCAGACAACAACAACAACAACAACAAAATAAAAACAGCAACGAAATGGGAGCTGGAGGCCTCCAGCCTCCAAATAGCCAGACATGCAAGAGCTCTGGGCATTCGGACAATGCTTGGTGGGCTACTACATGGAAACTATAGTGACAGTCGATGGCCAAAATGCAGGCCACTGTCCAGAGCACCTGTGTGTGGGGGGGGATAGGAACAAACTGCCAAACTTACAGTCATCTCTCTCTCACTCTCTCTATCTCTCTCTCACTCTCCCATTGCATTTACAGAGACGCCGCACAATGCACCATTCATAACCGGAATCCGGCCCAGATATCGGGTCGGCGACATATTGCGGGGCAATTGCACATCGCGACATTCCCGGCCGGCGGCCAATCTCACATGGACGGTGAATAATGAAGAGGTGAGTCGCAAATTATGCAAACACAATTTTCTTGTTTTTAAGCGGGGCATGCCTGTGTGTAATTTATGCGTGTGTCTGTGTGCATGTGTGTGTGTGTGTGTGCATGTGTCGAACGAGCTTTGTAATTACCAGGCAACACACACACTGGCTCCGATCAGCATCTGTTATGCCACGCCCCATCCATTAAGCCCTATTTTTTGGGCTCTAATAATTTAGCGCAGTTTTATGCACGCGCGCGCGCCGGACATTAAAATGCGGCGAAACGACATTGGAAAACTCTTCAGTTGCCAAACGAAATTTTCACAGTTTCCATTTTTAGTTACGCCCACCAAAACAAGCGACCAATGCACTGGGGCGTGTCTCACGGTTTGGCTTTTTGTTTGGTTTTACGGTTTGGCTCCGACTAATTTGCCAATTGTGCGCCAAAATGTATGCAATGTCATTTTTCAGTTTGCAACGCACTTGTTTTTCGTAGCTCATTTAAATAAGTTGAATGTCTGCGCTGCGCATAATGAACAGTGAATGTTTGGTATAATAGTACTATATGAAGTAGAAAGTGGGCTGAAACTTGAGCTGATTTGTTGGGCGAATTCCGGTATTTGTGGTTGAAAGTAGAAATGAGCCAAAGAAAATGTTTAACATAAATCAAAGCCCCAACTCCTGAAACTGTTGTTGTAATTGGCGTATTTACAATGTAAACAGTAAATGAAAACGAGAAAGAAGGGCTATCTTCGGCATGCCGAAGATATAATACCCTTGCTTTGCCTGTATCTAAGAAGAGCAGGGAAAATAGATAATGCCGAGTATGGTTAAGATATCTTGAAAAACCAAAAAGTTTTTCTTACAACTTAATTTTCGACCGAACGTTCCTATGGCAGCTATATGATATAGTGGTCCGATATTCTTAGGATTTTGCATATATATGAGGAGCATAGTGACATTAATAAATGCCGAGTTTGGTCAAGATATATTGATAAACAAAAAAGTATTTCATGTAAGAACCTACTTTTCGACCGTTTCGATCGTTCTATGGCAGCTATATGATATAGTAGTCCGATCCAGTTGGTTTCGACATACTCTCCACTTCTGCAAAGTTTCATATAGATAGCTTTAAAACTGAGAGACTAGTAGTTCGCATAGAAACAGACAGACGGACAGATCAAGAATATATATACTTTATGGGGTCGGTGATGTCTCCTTCTATACATTTAAAGACAAAATTATAATACCCTCTGCAAGAGTGTAAATAGTTTCTGGTTCCTATTTATTTTATATAAAAATCATATAAAATTGGGCATATATTAATTTCTAGATATACTTTTGTATTTCGATTTTTGTTTGATAATAATAGCTCTGGAACTGTGAAATATATTTCTATTGTATCAAAATATTTCTAGTCAGATCTAAAACTGTTGAAGAGGTAATGAACATGGAATTAAAATTCAAAATGCGTTGCTGAAGCAAGACTCCAAGAGAAGAATTTATTTCTTTACTAATGCTAAAACTTAAGTTTTTACTTCACTTTATTACAAATCTCTTCTAGCAATGGTTTGCTCTTGTACAACGAGATTCTTTCTATCTGCTGTCTTTCTATTATAAAAGATGTATATAATTTGGCACACTTTTAAATACCATAGCTCCCTTTATTTAAGATGTTGGCATCCAAGCAACTAAGTCTTGTGTCTGGTGTTTTAACTAAGATTTCATTTGCTTCGGCTACTTCGTAACTTGTAATTTAAATAGCTAACACAAATTATTTTACAAGGACTCTGTTCCATTTATTCTACAATGTAACTGCAATACAGTTCCTAATTAGGTAAACATACTCCCAAAATAATTGCAATATCTTGGTGGAATTCAAAGCTGTGCTGAAAACAGGAAGGCTTAGCTAGTTTTCCAGTGCCGAAGACTAAATACCCTGCAGAATTGTTTAATAATAACTAAATTTTCCATGAATTTGATATATTTTCATATTCGATTTGTTTTTATTTTTTAATAATTAATTGATTAAAACTTCTAAATAACTCTGTGAGAGTGTACGATAAAGTAATATACTCTGCAAGCGTAGAGCAGAAAATAAAGAAATTCTTTTGATATATTATTTAGTAAAATAAGACACTTTTTTTATCAAGAAATATTTGTAAAACCTATATTGTATCGTATGGCGATTTTCTTAAATTTAGGAGTTAAAATATTTCGACAGTAAAACTGATCTGTAATATATTATAGACGATTAATCATTCTAAATATATTATTTGCGTACATTTTCTTGCAGTGCATCGATATTTTAACTCCATTTTGTATTTAATTGTTTGTGGCTTTATTGCTTAAGCACATTTCTAGCGTTACAGTGCTGAGGGCTTGGAGCACAGCACAGACAGCGGGAGGTTGTGGGCATTTGCAATCAATCGACGACGGCGAACCCCAAAATACATGCAATGCAAAGCAACTCAATCCTGACCCACGAATTGCACGTGAAGCGCCTTTTCAGCTGCCAGCGCGCAATTGCGGTTTGCCAATGTATGCGTGTGTGTGAGTGTATGTGTGTAAGTGTGTCTGAAAGTGCTTTGTTTAGCTGCTAACGCTTCCGTCCTTTGTTGTTGTCTTGGTTGTAGTTGTTGTTGTTGTTGTTGTTGTTGTTTCCGCTATTATGCGCCATCAATGAGCATTGTTTGCCATGGACTGAAGCTCAAATTGCCCCAACCGTCGACGTGTGAGCGTGTGAGTAGCCGTGTGTGTCTCTCTCTCTCCATTTCTCTCTCTCTCGCACTCTCTCTGTGTGTGCGTGTGTGTGCTTGGGTAAGCTAATTATTTAGCTGGCTGCGTTTATTATATGATTTTCCATCCGTTACGCCTTGTAGCAGAACTTTATGCCAAATTAAACATTAGGTAAACTGTTTATGAAAAAAATAGGATCTTTGCTTTACAAGGAGCTCAACTGAGGTTGGGCGTATGATTAAGTTTTATATGTACTTAAGTTTAATATGTACTTACTAGAGGTTGCTCGGCCAAGCAAGATTTTGATTAATATTTAAATTTGGTAACAGGGAAATTCTACCAAATAATAAGAAAAACGAGAAGGAAGGGCTATCTTCGGCTAGCCGAAGATTTAATACCCATGCAGACCCAAGCACAGGGAAAAAAGTTAATGCCGAGTCTGGTTAAGATGTCTTGAAAAACGAAAAAGTTTTCCATACAACAACTTAATTTTCGACTGATCGTTCCTATGACAGCTATATGATATAGTGGACCGATATTGTTAGGATTTTGCATATATATAAGGAGCATATTAAAACTAATAAATGCCGAGTTTGATCAAGATATCTTTATAAACAAAAATGTTTTTCATACAAGAACCTAATTTTCGACCGCTCGTTCCTATGGCAGCTATATGATATAGTGGGCCGATCCAGCTAACTTTGACATATGAACTGCGTGCAGCAGAAAGAGGGACTTCTGCAAAGTTTCATAAAGATAGCTTTAAAACAGACAGACGGGCAGACGGACAGCCGGACAGACGGACATTGCTATACCGACTCGGCTGTTGATACTGAGTATATATTCTTTATGGGGTCGGACATGTCTCCTTCTATGCGTTACACATTTCACGACAAAATTATAATACCCTCTGTAAGGGTATAAAAAAAAAAATGATGCGACAACATATGCTGTAAATTTACATCAATAGTAGTTATATTTGATAGGCATGGCTGATCAAACATTACATTATTATTAAATTGGAGAACAAGGTTTCCGTCTGTTACACATAGTTCAACAGACACATAGTTCAACATTTTGTTACAGCTTTTCAATGGCCAGAGAGTATAGTTTTTCTCACAGGAGAATAAGTAGATGAAAATGACATTGTTATTAATAAAAATATTTACTCTGACCCATAGAGTAATAAACAGATATATTTATTACTCCATGACACTGATACAAAAAAAGTGTAATTTACGTATTATTAAAGATAGAGTATTAATATAACAAAAAACTTGATTATTTTTCTTCCAGGTAAATCCCTCACATGTGCGACATCATAAAATATTGCGGGATGCGCGCAACGATATGGAAACTGCAATTGTGGGCATTCATTTCGTGGTTACCGATCAGCACTTTGATAATGGCAAACTAAAGGTGAAATATAGTTTATAGATATATATATATATGCTACCCATAATAGCCTCTGCACAACTGATTTAATGAGTAATTGCTTTGTTGTACAGCTCCGCTGCAGTGCTCAGCTGCATGATGTGTATTGGAAGACGACGGAGAAGAACATATTGGAGGCGGATCCGTTTGGCAAATATGGCGGCAATGGGGCCAGCGGGAATCGCGTGAGTGCCGATGAGATATATGACCAGTACACGCTGCACGACGATGAACAATTTCACAGCAAGAAGAACAGCTACCTGACACAGCTGCAGGGTAAGTTGTTTTGGCAGCCAATTAGTGTGCACATACCCATAAACGTCTCCATAGAGACAAAAGACAACAACAACATCACAAACAGATACAACAGCAACAACGAAAGAGTACATCGCCTGCATTTTTCTATTTCTCGCTAGACTTTCTCTTTCATTTTGTACCCTCAGGCGAAGAAGACGATGTCGCCGACGGTTTAGAGGATGGCGGCGCGGCCTGGCGCGGCGTCAGCTCGTCGGCGGCCAGTCTCCAAGCTGTGGCAGCGAATGCTGCAACTGCAACTGGAACGCTGTTGGCGCTGCTCAGCTGGTCGCTGGCCGGGCAATTAGTGTCGCAGCTGTTGGAGATTACAAAGTACAGGCCCATGCGGGAAGGCATATACAAAACGCAGCAGCAGCAGCAGCAGCAGCAGGTGGACGAGCCGGAGCAGAGGCAACGCCTGCGGGCGCACAGCGGCAGCAGCATTAGCAAAGGATGCAGCATATGCAGCAGGCAATTAACATGATTCAATTGTCACGCAACTCTTGTGCCACACTTCAGGGAGGGTCAAAAGGCAGCGGGCGGAGATGCACCAGCGGCAACAGCAGCAGCAGCAGAGGCAGGCAGCAAAGTAGGCTTCAGCCCTAGGCAACAGCAAGTAACTGCTAAATGTATCTAAAATATTTACACCCAAATACACAGACACCAGTTTCAGCTAGCTCAAAGTAACTTCAAAGGCATTTAACACTAACAGACAAAATTGTGCAGCTACATTTTTATTCATTTTCTTCACAAAACCTAACAAAAAAAAACAAACATTTATCGATAGGTTTCGATAAGCAAACTGATTGTTTTCTTTGCCGAGCCGAGCCAATACCCTGTTACTTGCCTACATACCTAAACGGAACCACTTGCGAACTGGTTCTTTTTCTGATTTATACACTATGAAACATAAACGATAAAGAGTTGAAAAAAATGTTGTGCTAAGCTTTTCACTTTATTTCTCTACCATTAAATACATATATATATATACATATATATATTTGTATAACGAAAGTCAAAAATTATTTATATATGCGTATATAAATAATGGATATTTATATGTACCATATAAAGTTATATACATTCATACATATAATCGTATATGTATTATGCCTAATTGTAATTTCAACACACACAGACACGCATACACACAAACCCAAAAAGAGTAAAAAAGAAAGAAGAGCAATTAATTTATAAGTATATTAATACGCCTATGTATGTAAATCATATATATACATACATATATATATATAATTGTATATATTATAAAAACAAAACCAAAAAAAAAAAGGAAAACGTAAATTGTATAATTGATAAGTATTTACGGTAGATAATCAAAAATAAAACGAGCGACAAAAAAAAGACAATTTTTAAAAATGTGTAATCTATTTGCATGAAGATGGTCCTAAATTCGAGTAAGTAAAGTAAAGTTTCTTACTTGTAAAGCTGATTTTGTTTCAATGCATAATGTTTATTATTATAACTAGACATCTCCACATAAATGTTGTTTGTTTTATTAAATATAGTGGTTTGATATTGTATTTATTATATTAAATTTTTCGAAATGCAAACGTTTTTGTAAATTGTTCTAAATAATTTTTTTGATGTCAAAAAAAATATTTTGAAAAAAATGTTATGATTTTTATGTTCAAATATGTGAGCTTTTCTTCTCAATTACAAATTGTATGTTTATTATTTTTAAAAGTCAATTTTTTTATTAATATATTTTTTCATTAAGAATGTTGAAATGTTTATATAAGCTAATTGCTCTTTTTTTTTTAAAGTAATTTTTTTGTATAATACTTTAGTGCACTTCATTTGACTATTATCTTTTTAAAAGCTTTATATTAATATTCTTTTAGGATGATCATTTAATTAACATGTATATTTCTATACTAGCGGGTATAACCCGGCCTTGCCCGTGGCA